TGCTTCAGGCTGTCCTAGTCAGGTGAAAGGCGCATCAAGGGTTTAAATTTGTTCTTTTTCCCTTTCCACTTAGCAGCTTGGGCAATACCCAGAGAAGAACTATGTATATCACAGTATTAAAAACCGTGTGACATAAGATATGACGTCATTTCAGACATCTTTGTTTAAATGAAGGCTCTCCACGCAGTTTGAAAGAAGTCGGCGGTCGATTTACCATGACCATAAAAGCAGCTATTTGCATCACAGCCATTCATGACATGGAATACATTTAGCGACATGCCTCTGCAGAAAAGCAATTACTTCCTATTCTTTTATTTATTTATTTATTTATTGTGCTTCGCTTCCAAATATCATACAATAATTGCATTAAAGAAGCTGGGACACCACAACAGCTTAATACCAATTACAGTGGGCCCTTTACAAAATATCAAGTATAGATATAGAAAACAGAAATAATTAACAATTATTCGCCGAAGGCGAGGTGATTATCGGTGAGTAGATTTCTTTATGCAGAATACGCCAGGAACATCGTGCGAAATGGCAGCTGCTTGTATCTAGATATCTGTGTCCGCTGCATCTATGATCAAAGGGTCACTGTAGCCAGACGCCCTCAGAACTGTTTAAAATGATAGTATGATGGTGGCAGCCCGTCGCACTGATCGAAGGCAAGGTCTTCCCGAATATTGACAGATCAGAGGTTTACAAATTCTACGCCGACTGAACAGAGCAGGACTTGCATGATTGATTGACTGGACTACTTTATAGATAGTTGAGATTTAATAAGGGCCTGCAGACGTATCTTATTCCCGGAACTGCAGAGAAAGGTCTTAAATCCCGGGCTGATGGAAACTTGTCAGTTGATTTCATATACACATTGGGAATACGACCATGCCCTTGGATACACGACTTACGCTTGTCATCTTTGCTGAATTCATGCGATCAACGTGATCATATGGGACGTTAATGCAGATAATGGTGGTAGCGTCAACATGGCATGCAAGTATTGCATGCTAGTAACTTTGTCGGTGCAATCACCCCAGGTATAAGTAGACGCACAGTTCTTTTCTCGGACCTCCATGTTGGGAGATGCAAGTCACCAGATCATCCCAATGTCAACCAGCGCGGTGTTGCGATGATACGTCAAATGGCTATTGTGTCAGTTTCTGGAGTAGCTTGCTCTTCTGAGTCTTCCTGAAGGTATACCATTAATATTGAATAGCGTGAGACACTCCTCGGTAATTCGGTATACTTCATTACATTCGAAAGCAACATGAAGCCACTGACATAAACAAGATTAACCGACAGACGGCAAAGCTTTGTTTTCCATTTCTGTCTGTTTCACTTTAAGGATTTCATAATAATAATAATAATAATAATAATAATAATGCTTTATTCACAGTATTTCTACAAGGTAGTTTATTTATTTATTTATTTAATGAATTTATTGAGCAATCTACATAGTACGTACTATATCAGGTACAAAGATAAAAAACTTGACAAACGAAAGACAAAACACACGTCACAAATCACAGATTAGTAGATACACTCAAACGGAAAAGCACAAACGGGACACTAAAAGTCCCATGCGAGGTGCTCCCCGTAATTAGTTTAGATATAGTTATAATTAAATATACACACTCATATATATTACTTGTGGTATTAAGTCCTATGGCAAGGACAGTCACGAGTTAATGACCACGTACAAGCCATGTCTACGTCATAAACATTACTAGTTAGTTCTTCATCTGTGAAGGTTACAATAAATATTAGTAATATACAGTATACCGTTTTGAAATAGAAATTTGTAAAAAACATTAAGCAACGATTATTATACACATGCAATTAGTTATGATTCTTTTGCTTCATTTGACAGAAGTGTTTTAAGATATTTACAAACATTAAACTAGGATTATTAAACACTTGCAATTAGTATTGTAAAACATTAAACTAGGATATAATGTATACAAATGCAATTAGTTAAGATTCTTTTTTGCTTCATGTAGCAGTAATGTTTTAATATCGTTAGAAAAATGAAAATAGTCAGTACAATTCCTTAAATCGACGGGAAGACGATTAAATAGTTTTGAAGCAGAATCCTGTCCCTATTTCTAACGTCATTTTCAGCGACCTTGCATTGCTAGAACGCATGCAATAGTCTTGAATGTGACACCATTTCAAGCTTGGTATACGATGGCCAGGTTGCTTCGTGAATCAGCTTTATGAGCGGATTTCAAAATATGCCAATCGCGACGTTCTTTCATTGGCAACTATCCCAAATTTATTACGTCGCTCACCTTGCAATAATTATTCGTGACAAATCCCGCACAGGCATTTTGTACTCGTTGAAATCGTTTTATTAGATATTCATGAAGAGGATAATATACTGTATCAGAGTAATCCATTTCTGTATCTGCGAATGCAGATATATTGCTATCATGCGCGTACCGGAAGTTTGTAAGCGTGCTCATAGCCAATCAGCGACAGCGTATAGATGAAATGACGTAATGATACTAATTCCAAAATGGCGGTTACTGAAGGGTGAAACAAAGGGAAATTTGTGAATTTACAATTAAAATTATACATCAAACGCAGTCAAAACAACGTCATTTTACTAGTCTGAATATGGCAAAGGTCGAGAGTGTATTTTTGGCAAGCATTTGAAGGGTTTCATCATTTAATACGCAGTGAGAACGAAATGATTCCCAATTGTTGACAAGAAAATTATTGACTAATGGCATTGAGAATACTATTATGAAACTATGAAAGTAATGATTCTTCCACATGTTGCCATTGTAGGTGTATATCGAGTTGTGAGTGTTGATGTTTATGTACTTCTCAATTTAACATTTTCATTGGTGACTTTAATTAATATAAATTAGTTGAATGAAACCAATAGCTAGAAGGCCTTTATATAATTTCTTTATCAATGACTATAACTATAGACAATTGGTGTCTGCTTTCATTACAGACAAGCAGACTTTGATAGATCATTTTTATTCAAATTTAGCAGAGTCACAAGCTATTAAAGTCACACATATTGGAAACATTTCTCTTAAAGCAGTATATCTGCATTGAATAATTGCTTTCATTAAAGCAAAGCCAAAGTAATAGTGGTTGCGTAAAGAGCAGAGATTCAGCTTCAGATTGGAATGTCAATGCTTATAGTAACAGTTTCAACCAGTCATAATTATCAACTTGCAGTATATAACTATATATCCTCGGGGGGGGGGTGCTCCCTACTTTATCCCCCCTGATTTCTGCAACTGAATGTCATTGCCAAGAACACCAGGTAAGCAATTTATATCCCCTTCCCCTGTCCCATACTATATTGTCTTATAATCAACAACAACCATTTTCTTTTTCCTTCATCTGACATACTATAAATCTAACTTTATTTAACTGGTCAACTGTTAAACATCAGTCCCTTAAAATTTTTACAAGCTACTGAGTATTGATTAAAACCCTTGGCAACCGTGAAATCACCACGAGCAGATACATGTACGCTTAGCGTACCTATTTTTGATAATACTAGAGGCTCGACCAGTTGTTTTCGTAATTTAAAAGAAACAAAATTCTTCAGTTTACGAAGTACTGAAAGTGTAGCATAACAAGAAGAGGTCACATCTGTAACATGTTCTTTCCAATCCAGGTGAGCTGTCAGTTTCACGCCCAGTAATTTAATACTCATTTATGCGTTCGATACATTTGCCCTCGAGATATAAGTGGACGGATTTATCGTTAAGCGCATGACGTCTTGCCATTTGTGAAGTTGATATCAGCATACACTTAGTGTTCTTTGGATTTAGACCCAGGCTTGATTCATTTGACCAATTAATTAGTTGTTGTAAGGTCGTATTCATGTTTGAAACTGATTGATCTAGTTGGTCCACTTTGCAATGCTCTAGTAAAGTCGTATCATCGGCATATTGGAAACAATTCTGGTCGACGTTCAAGTCAGAAACATAAAGATTAAAGAGAAACGGACCCAAGACTGAGCCCTGTGGAACGCCATATTCAACGGGCAAAACATTTGACTTGCGGTCATTGATTTGGATGATTTGATACCTATCTGTTAAATAGTTTGTAATCCAGATAAGATAGTCCTTCGAGAAATTTAAAGCGTGTGGTTTCCGAAGTACGGTTTTAAATCGATGGTATCAAAGGCCTTTGAAAAGTCGGCTATTGTCATTAAAGACACTTCGCCTTTTTTCATCGCTCGTAAAATATCATCTCTCATTCCCATCAATAAAGTAGCGGTGGAATGGCAAGCGCTACTTTATTGAGAGGGCCAGCTACAATTTCAGAGACGATTTTAATAAATTTCACAGGAATTTGATCAGGGCTGGTGTAGGTGTCCTGTCGTAAGGACCTTAGCTCTTTAAGGACATTGTTGCAAGTAACTGGTTGAATGCGAAAAGCGTGTTCGTTGTTATCTGGCAATTGCTTTATATAATCTAGTAGCCCCGTTTGGTTATTTGCTTGTAGGGACTAAAACGTCGGTATGCTGTGGATGCAAAGTGATTATTGATTTCGCTTGGGTCGCACTGAAAGGACTTGAGTTTGGGTTTAAGGCGCGATTTATCACTTGCCACACTTCTTTTGGTTTCTTGGAGGAAAGTGCCGTGGTGTAAAACGCTCGTTTAGCCTTTTTATTTGTGGTCTTAAGAGAATTACGGACTTTACGGTATACCTGTCACACAAAATCAGATGATGATTTATGCGCCAGGTACCTCAATTGGTCTCGTTTACATTGGAGTTCAGTAATCTCGTTGGATTTGAGCCAGGGGCAAGGAGGTCGCTTCACTTTGATGCGCTTTAGAGGAGCGTGTCTTTCCAAGCATTTGTTGAATAAATCGTTAAAGTTCCCAATTTGTCATCCAGATTTTCATAAGCATAAATTGCACTAAGAGGAAGAGATACAAAGTCTTCGTAAAATTCCTTGGCTTAAATTTGGTAACACGAACACTTATGCAGGTGTAAGGAGCGTCATGATCACTAACTGTTGGACATGGGAGAACGTTTGTAAGAGTGGCTCGATGTGGGCAGTTAGATGCAATATGGTCGATCAGAGTCAAAGATGTTTGAGTTACTCTCGTCGGTTTTGATACAAGCTGGTGTAAACTTAGGGTTTGGAGTATTTCGTTGTACGATCTTGTAAGAGGAGTGTTGGGACTTATACAGTGGATGTTCATGTCTCCAGTCACAACTAACATGCCTTCCCAAGTTGACACCAAATCAGTTAATAATGATTCGATTTGCTCAAGCCAGCAATGGTGTGGCCAGTTTTGGTCGCGCGCTGGTGCTTTAGCGAAAGTGAGACGAGGGTGACGTTTGATACGATCTTCCAGAGACGTTTCCTTTAAATAAACACGTTCGCACATGAATTTTTTCAAATTTTCTCAACCATCTTTCCAACTTTTCTTCTTCTTTATTATGCCGGAACGGAAAGTTTAATTTCACACTAATGATGCACCACGGGTTACTGAATATTTTAAACTATTGATAATGTCGCGCCAACGCGCCTTTTCATCCGGAAACTTACAGATGTTTATATTGTACCGCAATAAAGTGAATAGAGAGAGGAAATTGTTACGAGCAAAATTCTTTGCCACGAAGGTCAGTAATTCTAAAAAATCAAAACCCAAGACATGGAGGTCTGACATCAAACTTATCAGCGGAATGAAAACCTGCAATAGCGATCTTCAATCGCAACTTCAAATGGAAAACATTGATCACCTATCGTCGAAAGAACTTGCCAATTTAATTAACAGCACCTTTCTGGAATCTATGAGCACGTACCACACCTTGCGTGATGAAGATATATCCAACTTACATCAAGACATTCCCACTGACCCTCCATCTGTAGTTAAAACGATAATTTCTCCGGCATCGGTGTTAACAAAGCTGAAAAAGCTGAACGCATCCAAAGCACCAGGACCTGCTGGTATTCCAAACTGGATTTAAAAACTTATGGGGAGATTCTAGGCTAAGCATCCCCGATATCCAACTTGTTGAATACGTCTTATCAGGAAGACAAACTTCCTATCGTCTGGAAAATAGCAAACATCACTCCTATCCCAAAAGAAAAACCTGTGCGTGAAATTAATAAACATCTTAGGCCAGTTTCGCTTACCTCAGCAGTATCTAAATTGGCCGAGGATGTCATAGTCGAGAAATACGTCGCCCCAGCTGTTTTATCTATGGCTGATCCAACACAATTTGGGGGCATTCCGCGCTCATCGGCAACTCACGCGCTAATCTCGATGGTGCACAAGTGGTCGGAGCTAGGCTACTGATGGAACTGGAAATGTTGTCATAACTGTGTTATTCGATTACCGTAAAGCATTCGATCTCGCAGACCACCTCAATTTGGCCAGAAAAATTATCCAACTATCTGTTCCATCTTTTGTAAAGAAGTTGATTTTAGACTTTTTATCAAACAGACTTCAACAGCTAAAACTGTCGAATAACTGTTTTTCGGAGTGGGGCGGCGTACCCTCTGATGCACCCCAAAGAACAAAACTTGGCGCTTGGCTCTTCATTCTTATGATTAATGATCTAAGAACTCCAGTAAGCGATTGTTGGAAATACATCGATGACACCACAATTTCCGTAAGCAAAGGCAGCACAAACAAAGGCAGCACAAGCAAAGGCAGGTAAGCAAAGGCAGCACAAGCACGATGCAAAACTCCGTTGACGTCGTACAAAATTGGTCTATCACAAACAAGCTACAACTGCATGACTCTAAGTGTAAAGCAAAGGAGCACAGCAGTATTTTTTTCGAGACTTGGCGTACCTGTATGGCTGTAAAATCTGTGAATAGGTAGTCTTTGTCTTCTTTGGTGTACTAATTTGCATATAAACACTAAAACAATGTTTTTAAGCACTTTCAAATACCATAACTTTCGTATTAATATTTTCGGCTTTCGACGCACCTTCTTTGCAGGCTATTTTCACATGGTCGTCCGCCAGAGGAGGGTGGAAGCTCTTCCCAGCATGCATTGCAACTCATTAATATTCAGAATCATGATTTTTCACAATGTTAGTTGGAAAAGTTGTGGATATTTATTTCGATATTTCGCCACGAAAAGTTCGTATTTTTGAAGGTAAGTTTTTATAATTGTTTTAAATATGAGTCAAATTAACAGTTTTTGCTTTATTTGGTGTTTTAATAACATTTAGTTATATGTTAATCGCAATTTGTATTGACCTGTTTTCCGGGTCAATGCACAAGTGTCAAAAGTGGCTTTCAAAACCGCTGGGGACAATTGGGTTTGTAAATGAGTAAATTAAATAAAAGACACGCCATCGTATAGTTGTTCTTTCTATGAGAAGTTTAAAAAATTAATTGTCACCATCAAACTGACGAGTAATCGCGGTTTGAAAATGGGGCATTTTCGGTATACTATGTCGCCCATCGCGGGAATAGTCGACCGCATGGGAATTATGGCGCGAGGAAAATTACTGTACGAGCCGTTATTATTTTTGTTTTATTTCGAAGCATGGGCATATATGTCGATCGTTCTTGAGTTTAACTGCTGCATTTAAGTTAAATGCACTGTATTTTACCATTATTTTTATAGAATTCGAATATATTTTGTGAAAATGGAATCTAACAATGATGGCAATGTTGTTTATATTGTTGATCCTAAGTATGGGAAAAGTTGATTTAGAACTGTTATTGAACAAACTGTTCCTACATCTTGCTTTGGCAAATGGTATAACATCTAATCCAGCCAAGTTGTGCTCATGATCCATTCAACTGATTCAAGTAATAAAACTATTGAACCAGAATAATAAGAGCAACCTGTTATATAAATTTGCCCATACCAGCCTTTTAATAGATACATATTTTAGTAGACATTTACATGTAAATATTGGTGTATTGGTGACATGAAAATGTTGCAACGAATCTTAAGTATTTACTTTATATATTGTAACTTTGAATAAAGCATATTATTAACATTATTTACTGGGGTGTGTGCACCCCCACCTAGCCCTGGCCAGAGGGTATGCAGGGGGGGGGAGTGGTGGTGGTATTTTCATGATAAAGCAAAAAATATTACAGACAAAATGAGTAATTTGAGTAACAACACGATGATAAGTAAACTGTTTGTTAACAACAATTACAATAGAGTAGTCAAGCAAAACTTTGCTATAGTCAAGTAAGTTGATGGGTGGGCAGCGCACATGACTGACACAACTCGGCACCAGAGCTGGCAGAGCACCCTCCCTACCACATACTGGATCCATCTTTAGATCAGTTATCTATCTGTGCTAAATAACAGTTAAAACAATGTTAAGAATACATGCACAAGGTGGACTATAAGATAAAGTAGGGATTTGATAACTGCAGTAAACAAACACAGCAAATTGAGTTTGAAAACATTTATTTATTTGAAAAAGGAATGGTAAAATTATATTTAACAATTATTCGCCGAAGACGAGGTGATTATCGGGAATATTTGCCGAGATGAAGTCGAGGTGAATATTCCCGATAATCACACAGCCTGAGGCGAATAATTGTTTTAGTATTTTTGCACAAGTTTTTTTGTATTTTTCTGGTCTGAATTCATTTTAATTTCGCTTATTTCTTTATTACTAACTTCAACAAAACGGCTAGCTGCCATTTTGAAAATTTCGATTTTGTTATAATATAACAGATTAATACGTCAAATTTGACCAATCACCTTGTAGCATTTGTTATGTTCACTTGTGCAAAAATACTAATATCAAATATTTACCTGAAATAATAACAGTGTTTTAATAGGAATAAATTTATATGAAAATCTCAACTAAAAATGTCTTGCTCATGTTCTACTTTAAATTTCAACTTGAGATTTTTTGATCATCTATACATGATTATCACAAGTTGCATGGTATCTTTGTTTTCGCCAGAAACCAGCTACAACAAACTTCTCAGGATACAAAGTGTCCTCCACAATCCTTGTCTTAATTCTCAGGATACAATGTGTCTCCTCCACAATCCTTGTCCTTCAGAATCCTTGTCTCCATCATTCTCCTAATCAGAGCTTGAATCATTCATGTATTTAGCATCACCAGTAGCCTGTTCCACACCCAACAATTGGGTCAACTGCTGAATTTCATCAATCTTGTCCATGTCTGCAACTCTACCTTCTGCACCAATACTTTCAACATCACCAGGCATCTCTTCACCATGAATTTTAACCAAACACATAGGATTTAATGGCTGCTTAATGCAATTGCATAACAATGGCTCATCTAAATTCACCAGTGGTAGGTCATTCAGTATATCCTCTAAAATATCCAGCTTGGGTGGTCAGACTGTTACAGAAGTTGGTGATGGAATAATGTTAAACTGACCCACAACAGAACACAACATAAGTACATGTACTACAGGTAAAAAAGATTTGATGCATTTATACAGGGACGTTGGAACAATAAAAAGGCAAGGGATCCTTTATAGACCTACAATTATGTGTTGACTTGCTAATGAAAGCCTGATTGTGCATGTTCCATTGACAATAGCTGTTCTGTGTTCTGGCAATAAAGTCTACTCAAGGAACTATAACTGCACAAACACACTTAATCAGGTCACATTCAAGTTCACACCTCATGACTTTGCCCAAATCTGGAGATAAGATTTAGCAGGCAGAATTTCTATAACTCAAAGTGCACTTCTGCCCCCTTTGCCCCTCCTCCCTGCTTTTATATTAAAATAGATTTGACATAAAGTCAAATACTTGTATGATTTCCGAGTATAAATGGCCCATTTTCCCACCAATTAAATCATAAATAATCTTACCTTAAGGTCACAGCTAGAATAGATTTCTATCAATGAAGGACTATCGCATTCGGCGAACGGAACATATAATATAAAGTCAACTTTTTAATACGCCATTGTCGTTATCCATAAAACTAGAAGTTCGACATCCCTTCACGAAGAAGCTGCAGTCGGTCTTTCGACACCCAATGTACATAAAGATTGTCACGTCCATCCAAATCAGTAGCTTTGTTGCCACGAACAGTACGAAAATTCGCCATGATTTACAATTTTCAATTTGTACTTTTGAATACCGCTCCTTGTAAATTGAGTAGTGAACACAACGAGAGCTAGTCGAACAATGACGGCGCGTCCCGGGAAATCGATAATATTAATGAGTTACAATGCATGCCGGGAAGGGCTTCCAACCACCTCTGGTCGTCCGCTGTACATATTATATCGCATGTACGGTTTGTAAATACGCGCGAAACTTACAATAAGAAATAGAGGGGAGTGAAACTCGACAGACGCTGTAGCAAATTGCTAGGCACAGTAACTGTTGCTAGGCAGAAGCCACTTCTAGGTATAATTATGGAATTATGCAATCTAGGC